ACATGCAAGCCTGTTTCGTCAGATGACTTTGACAGCTAGCACGCTACTCTTACTTTATCCTGCCTTAGGGATACTTGGTTTCTGGGGGATATCACCCCAGTTTTTCTGAGCTTTGGCTGGATGCACTCATCTCCTTGTTTTAGGAACTGTCTCCTTTTCTCAGCTCACTCATCACTTTCACTGCTTGTTTGCAAAAGGCCTGCCCATGACTACAGTCTGTAACATATACAATAGCTTCCAAATAGGGACTGCGGAGCAGCCCTCACTCAAGTTAGGTCACTAAAGAGCCCCAAAGCTGCTGCACCGCTGGCTCAGAGCAGCTGACACTGGCCTTTCTCTTGTTTGGCTACAAGCAGAAAGCCAGGATGGGGAGAGGAGGAGGAGCCAGAGGATTAATCCTGAAGAGACATTAGGAATGAGAGCATTTACAGTTGGTATGTCCCTGCTTTTCTGCTTCTTTATTTAAGAGTGGGAATTACAGGATAAAGGAGAGATGGGCACTTCTGAGGGCTGTGCTGCTGGGCTCTTTGCCTTTTGATTTGTCCTAAGAAGGTTGTCTTCATCTAAGCATATCCGTTTATTCAAACCACAGGCATTCTGGTAACCTCAGGCTTCAGCTCAAAACTTTAGGACTGCTAGAGAGATACCAGTATCAGTCCTTATTAAGCAATCTGTACTCTGTTTCCTTCTGTTTCCACGGGGTAATAAGCAGAGTAAAGTAGGAAAAACTCTTCCACAAATTAATTTGGAAAGATTTAAGATCATCACTCCTTTCAGCCTTTGTGTTTCGTGTATTGTCTCTTCTTCAGTTGTTTGGAAGGGAAAGGATTTGATGGACGCTATTTTTATCAGGAGCCAGGATAAAGGGGGTATTATCTCTAATGCTGGGAAGGTGACCACAGACAAGCATTTGATAACAGGAGGGGAGGGCTTGGGTTTCAAATGCTGACTGATCAGTCCTCTGCCTTCTTGGAGCCAGTTCCAACTCGGTGGGTACCTGTGTGCGCTCTCTCCAATGCTTTCACTTGCAGCTGTCATGAGCTGTTGTCTAGGGGCTTTTTCTTTTTTCAAACCCTTGTGACTAGAAGGCACCTTTTCCTTCCTGAAGTGACTCATGAAGGAGAAAAGTAGAACTTGCAGGTTATAGAAGTAGAAGCTTGTGCTGGCTCCCTGCTATATTTGCGTTTAAGTGGAGTAATTAATTTGTTTCAAAGGCAAGAATGAGTAACCACGAGAAGGGCAGGAAATTCAACATAAGGTCATTACCATAGTCTCCATATGTTGAAGCCATTACCTAGAATTATATTACAAGTTTATCTTTTAAATCTGATGTGATTTTTGTGAAAACCTAGGCGTGTAGTCATCCGTGGTGCTATGTTGCAGTGTTAACTGTTAGAGTTGAAAATCAAATGTTCATAGTAATTGCTTCCCATGAAACAGTAAGTCATCTATGCCACGTCTTAAGCTTGTGAAGCATATGACACATGCATTTGCTTCTCAGTGGCAAAAGTATATGCAAAGGAAAGTTAACAACACGAACTGAAGTGTGAGCTCAGTAAAACAGTGCTTTCTCTAAGTCCTCTAGGTTGCACAAAAGAGTTCCTTGCTTGCAGTTTGATTGGTTGGACATCTGTAGCAGGAAAATCTTGCTTTGAAGTTTGCTTTTCAGATCTCCAGAGTACTGCTCTGTTTAGTTTTCCTATCGTGTTTGTCCTCTATACATATAACCACATCTGTGTTGTTAGTCTGAAGTAGAAGATTCCCAGTGGGGAGTCCCTGTCATGTTTGCTCTTCTGGGAAGAACTATCAATGCTAACTATGCTTTAGAAATTCTTTTTCTTGGTATTAATTTCTTTTTCCTGTTAACTAAGTTGATTGTGTTTGTGTGCTTTGGTATACTGGAGAGCCACCACAGTTTTCAGTGCAGAGAAGAAGCTGAAATAGCTGTGAAATCCTTGGATCTCTACTGTGTAGGCAGCTCACGTTTCTGCCCAGATGAGATATTATCTAGATCTTATCTAGTTCTCATTTTGCAGATGAGGAAACTAAGGCTGAGAGATATTGAATGAATACACTGTGCTTACCCGAATCTTACTGTATGTCACCTGTTAGCATATATGGAAATGTGGGTTAAGACAAGTCTCTGATAGGATAAGCTGATACATTGGTACATAGTTGAAGGTAGGATGTGGATCACTTGGTTTAGGAATCTCACAACACTGGCGGGCAGTAAGCGCCACCCATTAGTTAAACAGGGGCCCTGGACAAGTAGGTGTATCTGTGTAAATGTGTATCTGAGGCAGTTCACTGCACAGCACCCTGACTCTTCGTTGTTCGCTTGTCTAGCTTCTTAGATTAACATCAGTGTGTTCTCCATCTGTAACTAGTTCTATGTCCTTGAACAAGAAAGCCTTATTAAATCTTTGTTATCAGATTCTTTTTCTGGGGCTGAGATTTGATACTGGTCTTTAGAACATAGCAAACTGATTAATAATTTAGACATGTGTGGTGAAGTCAGAGTCAGAGTCTGTGTGAGGCTGGGGTGCGGCTAGGGAAGTATTGGGGTAGCTAACTCTTCCTGGGATTGGATCCCTTCAACAACATCTTGTTATCTTTAAAAAAAATTTTATTAGCCAAGTCTAGTATCACTAATATTTTTAAAAACCAAACACAAGATGATTAAAAAAATATCAGGAACGCATTTCTCCCTCCTGCAGCCGGACAGCTCTCTAAGGCAAGCACCAAAGTGCTAACTTTATGACATGTGCTTTGCCTTTTGTAGATAACTTTGCTCCAGAAAATTCACTGATAAACTTTACTTAAGGCAGAGTTTAGATGCTGAAAAATCAGGAAAAGATAGCTAGACATTGTGGTACACTCCAGTTATTCCAGCACTTGGGTGCTAGGGCCAAGATGATCAGAACTTTAAAGGTAGTTTTGGATACATAACTTTGACCGGTGTATGCTGCGTGGTACGGGGGCGGGGGAAGAAGGAAGGAAGGAGGTGAAAAGAGGGGATTGTACTGCAGTACTGGAAGAGTACCTAAGAATTCAGAGACTTTACTCTTAAGCACTTTTGTTAGTTCAGCAGGTCTAGTTATTCCCCTTGCTCATTCTGGTGTTGGCAGTTAGATGTTGGTCAAACTGGAAGTTGTCTTGATTTTTTTTTTCTTTCTATATTGGTGAGTAAGAATAACTCTGCTTTTTGTTACTGTGTTGTTTGGTTGGTTTGTTTTTGTCAACTTAAAACAAGCTAGAATCATCTGGGAAGACAGACCCTCAATTGAGAAAATTCTCCATCAGATTGGTCTGTGGGCAAGGCTTCTTCTTGATTCATAATCAGTGAGGAAGGACTCAGGGCCTTGTGGGTGGTGCCGCCCCTAGGCTGGTGGTCCTGGGGTTATACAAGAAAGCAGGCTGATGGGAAGCAAACTGGTCAGCAGCACTCGTCCATGGCCTCTGCCTCAGCTGCTGCCTCCAGGTTCCAGCGCTGAGTTCCTGTCCTGACTTCCCTTCAGGATATAGACTGTGACCTTCATGGTGAAACAGGTCTTTCCTGCTACTTCCTCCCCAGGCTGCTTTGGTCATGACCTTTCTGACAGCAGTAGGAAGCAAAGATAGTCACTAAGAGAATATTAAGAATCTGATGAAATTCGAGCTACTTTGTGATATCACATTAAATTTCTGAACTTTTGATCTGCTACTTTTCAGTAATGAAAGTATAAATTGAATGTGTTAAAACAAACAAACAAACAAATAAAACACCATAAAAAAACAAACAAAACAACAACACAAGTTAACCTTGTAAAATACAAAGAAAAATCCTTTGGCCTTGAATAGAAGCTGCCTTCAAGACTGAAATAACATCCATTTATTATAAAGCATAAGAGCCAAAGCCTTTTTTATGCTACATCACTTCTAGAAGGGAGGTGAATTTATAGCGGGACCATTGTTAGAAACTAACCTTTATCCTCAGAAGCAAAGTTAGCTCACCATGACATGAAGTGTTATTCTCTCCTGTCTGGGAGGCTTTTTACTAGTGTGTGTTGGAACATTTAATACTCTTAAAATTCCAAAAGCCTCTGAAAATTTCAACTTAACCACATATTATATTAATGTAACTTGGGTTTAGCATTAATTTCTCAGCATTAATTTGAACTATTGATATAATCGACTTTTTGAGAAAGTAACATTTTGGAATGCTATCTGTCTGTCTGTCTGTGTGTCTATCATCTATCTAACTCTTTAGAATGAGCAATAGCTGAGACTGGCGCAGTGTTTCGTGATTAGAACATCCTCCTCCTTTACTTTATTAAATATGTTGGTTTTAATCAAAATGATGTTTGGGTGCATAGAGTAGGAAAGGCCCTATTAATCATTATTTCAACAAAATAGAAATTTGTTCTCTTTTACAAGTTAACAATAGTGGCAGAAAGGCTCCTCAGTATCTCCCTGGACCCATGTTCCTAGTCCTGTGCTTCACATCTTCTCCTAGAGCACCCTAGAACATCTCCTGGCCTGACATGGTACAAGGACTTGAGCCATGTAGTCCACGTACACTGGAGGAACAGGGGAAAGCAGGCATATCCTAGTTCAGCCAGCCCCTTGAAAAAACTCTCAGGATTTCTGTGTAGCGATTCCACTTCTCATTGGCCAGAACTTGGCTGTAGCGCCACAGCTGGCTGCAAAGGAAGTAGAGACTGTAGTTTTTAATTCTGGGTAGGAATATTCACACTTAATCTCAGTATTTTTTTTTAACTAAGGAAATGAGGGAAATGGGTATTTGGTAATACAGTACCACCATGCTCTTGTGTTACATAGTGGGTCTTGGAGCTACAAAGTAGAGGATCAAAACACCTCTTTCTGTTTTTGTTATGAGCAATGGTTTCTTTATTTAGAAATTGGGCTTTATTTAGAAACCCTGTTTCTTCTGTGAAGAATCTTTGCTTTATTTGGCGATCTAGTCTGACTTTGCTTTCCTATTTCCCTTTGCCTTTCAGCTGTTTTGGAAGGAAGTAAGGCTTAGATTTCTTCATGTTAACCATGAGTGTGACACTCTCCCCACTGAGGGCACAGGACCCGGATCCCATGGCAACAGATGCCTCACCCATGGCCATCAACATGACGCCTACTGTGGAGCAGGAAGAAGGAGAGGGGGGACAGGCCACGACAAACGTTGATGCTGAGCAGCAGTATGGAAAGCCACCCCCTCTGCACACAGCAGCCGACTGGAAGATTGTCCTGCACTTGCCTGAGATTGAGACCTGGCTCCGGACGACCTCAGAGAGAGTCCGTGACCTGACCTACTCAGTCCAGCAGGATGTAGACAGCAAGCATGTGGATGTGCACCTAGTTCAGCTCAAGGTAAGGCAGGTTCTCTGGAAAGAAGTCTCAGTTCTGTACCTGCCAGTGAGGAAGAGTCCAAAAGGAAAGTAGTGTAACAGATTTGAAAACACTATTCTTGATAGTAAACACAGATCATTTTTTTTTTTTAGTTTTACTACATGTGCCAATTATCTAGAGTGGAACTGGTCTTTAAGAATAGAGCAGTTACAAGGAATAGGAAGGGTATTTTTGTTCGATGTCACAGAAATCAGTTGTGGAAAATGAAAGGATCTTACAAATGATTGCAAAAGGCTTAACCAAAGTCTTGCGGTAGAGCATGGAGCTGCGCTGGTGAGCAGGCCATGAGATTAGTACCGTCTGCTGAAGCTGATGCTGTCTTTGAGGCAAACAGTGGTTTCTGCCCTGGTGGGAAGGGCAGTGTTCTCCTTTTAGAGTGTCTTTCATCCAAAGACAATGCATTATGCAGAAGAAAGGAGCTTTTTATAACAACCGCTCTAACGTCAGATGTTTGAAAACTGTCTGTGGCTTCTGCAGACCTTTTGATAGTGTCACAGCAGTGAGGATTAAACATGCTGTGAGAGTTCAATTAAATGAGGGGCTCTGAAAATGCATACTGTGACTTTTACCCTGTCATAGCCTTTTCTGTCTCCCGGGTCCTTGAAGGAAAAAATACATAGCAGATAGGGCTTCTATAGATGTATATAGAGAAAGTTATCTTGTCTTAGGGAAGATTCTTTTACCTTAAACACCGTAAGACAAAAAGCTAAAGAGATTCTTATCTTAACACTGGAATGACCCACAGCTTGTAACTGCCTAGAAGAAAGATGTGCAGTCGAGAGAAAGCATGTTTCCCGATGTTTAGTGTGGATTGGCTTAGCCTCTTCAGCTTGGAGCAACAGTTGTTACTGACATTCCTGCTGCTGTGAGAAAGCACTGTGACCAAGAGCACCCTGGGCAGGAAAGGTTTTATTTCAGGTTACAACTGCCAGGTCACACAGTCTATCACTGAAGGGAATCAGGGCAAGACCTCAAGACAGGAGCCGGAGGCAGGAGCTCAGGCACAGTCCATAGAGGAGTGCTGCTTGCAGGGTTGTTTCTCATGGCTTGCTCAGTCTGTTTTGTTTTGGGTTTTTTTTTTTTTTGCCCATTTTTAAAAATATTTATTAATAGCATTTATTCACTTTGTATCCTCCCCCTGTAGCTCCCTCCCTCCTCCTCTCCTAATCCCTCTCTCCTTCCCTCTTCTCCATGAATGCCCCTCCCCAAGTCCACTGATAGGGGAGGTCTTTCTTTCCTTCCTTCTGCTCTTAGTCTATCAAATCTCATCAGGAGTGGCTGCATTGTCTTCTTCTGTGGCCTGGTAAGGCTGCTCCCCCCTCAGGGGGGAGGTAATCAAAGAGCAGGCCAATTAGTTCATGTCAGAGACAGTCCCTGTTCCCCTTATTAGAGAACCCACTTGGACACTGAACTGCCATGGGCTACATCTATGTAGGGGTTCTAGGTTATCTCCATCCATGGTCCTTGGTTGGAGTATCAGTCTCAGAAAAGACCCTTGTGCCCAGATTTTTTGGTTGTTGCTCTTCTTGTGGAACTCCTGTCCTCTCTAGGTCTTACCATTTCCCACTTCTTTTATAAGATTCCCTGCACTCTGCCCAAAGGTCATCATAAGTCTCAGCATCTGCTTTGATACCCTGCAGGCTAGAGCCTTTCAGAGGCCCTCTGTGGTAGGCCCCTGTCCTGTTCCCTGTTTTCTCCTTCTTCTGATGTCCATTCTCTTTGCCTTTCTGAATGGGGATTGAGCATTTTAGCCAGAGTTCTCCTTCATGAGGATTTCCAGCTCAGGGACAGCACCACCTACAATGAACTGAGCCCCACCGCATTAGTCACTAATTAAGAAAATACCCTTCAGGCTTGCCTACAGCTTGAGTTTATGGAGACATTTTCTCAATTGGGATTCCCTCATTTCAGATAAGTCAAACGTGTGTCAAAATGGCAAAAACTAACTGACCAGGGTGGCAAAGCTATGGCAGGAAGCAGCCTCAGTGGAACGGCAGCTCCTGTGAGCTTCTTCCTGTGGCAAGAGGGAGTATTGTGACTGGGTCCCATAAATAATTTATTCAGAGGAATATGCCCCTGGGCATCTTGGGGTCAAAGTAAACCAGAAGTTAGAGGACACCGTCACACCTCCCAGTGCTGAGCTAGTGTGTGGCTTCCGTAAGTTGATACAGGATTGAGTTTGTAAGGCAAATCAAGTGTTACCTGCCCCCAAAGCCTTCACATTTGCACAGGAAGTTGGTAAATTCTTTAAGAGAAAGGAAGGGAGATGGACACACTTTTAGAAGAGTCAGCTAAAAACATTATTAAATTTTAAGTGGTCTTAAATGCTAATTTGTCATCAACTTAACTTAGTGAGATCAATAAAATACACATGGAAACTTAAATTTTAACTCAGAATAGGAATGTAAAGTTCCTGCCATTAACATATTTAGTGTTCGGAGAGTCACCTCTAGGGAGACCTACTTTCCCCCTTGTAGGTGTCATTGTGCTTTTCAAAAGGCATCTTATATATCTGTCATTGCTATGTTTCAGGATGTGGTCTATCTTCTCTGTTGAGAAAGGAGCTACAGGAGTTACAAGGTCAGGACAGTGGTTGTATGATGTCAATGGCTGATCAGTGATAGACTGAAATTTTCTACCTTACCTTTACTCTAGGATTTCTGTTAGCACTTTCCTGAGTGTGTTCCACTAAATTACTTCACTGCATTCTCTGTTATCAAATATGTGTAACAACAGAGCCCTTCCCCGTGGAGCCCAAAGTCAGCAAGCTTCAGTGTATGTGGCCTCTACCAGGGTCTGTACAAAGGGCCTAGTTCTGAACCCTAACATGCTTCTGTAAGCTTCTCCTTGATTGTATAATATTTCTTTATTCAGTGGAATTCTGATGCATTTAAACGTTTAAATATGTCATCTTTTTACATTCTACATTGATTCAAAATTAGTAATGGGGGCAGAGCAGTGTGTTAATGGAGACTTAATAGGACAACCTTGTAGAGTAGTTCCAGGAAAGACTTTCAGCCAAGCAGATCCAGCTTGGGTCGGTTGTCCCAGTTCACATTCACTGCTTTGGCTAGTTACCCGGTATACTAACTCACAGTGAAAAGCAGCTACCAGGGCTGGGAATGCCCATGACCTTAAAGACCACCTTTAAAGGATAGGTGCAGAGGAATTCCAATTTGGTCTATCCATTCCAATGTTTCCCTGATGTTCCAAAGCCCAGTTTCTTACCTGGCTTCTCTGCTTGTGCAAAAATCTCAAGTTGGGGATGTCCACTCAATCACTCTTAGTCCTCCTCTAATAGCCTGAGATACAGTGAGCACTCTTTGTCTAGCCAAAGAATGGCTTTCTGTCCACACGTGCATCTCTTATCAACAGGGAACCCATCCCCAGATGTGCCCTCAGCTCATTCACTGCTGTCTAACACTACTGCTGCCACCACACCAAGCCATGCCCTTGCTTGGGTACATAAAGCCTCTATGAATCTTGCTTCCTTTTACCTTCACCACTCTTGCAGCTTATTTCATACTTGGTAGCTTGTTTTGTTTTGTTTTTATGTCCATCAAGTTATGCCATTCTTTTGCTTTAAATCTCTTCCTTTGACTCCTCACTGCCTACATTTCTGGCACAGCTTTCCCTGCTTTGCTCTGGTCTATACCCAGATACTCCAGAAGCCCCAGAGCAATGTCATGCTAGTTGCTGCCTCACGGCTTGTCTTCTGCCCTTTGCCTAGAGACTGTTTCCCCACCATGGCACAGCTGACTCTGGATCCTCATCAGGCTCTTAGCCAGAGGCACAGCCAGGTTCTGACATCTACTTGCAGCCTGGGAGAGGATCAGGCAGGGGCTGGGAACAAGAAGGTGAGGCCTGTTCTGTGTTTGACGAAGGGAACACACACACACAGGAACATCTAATTGTCTACAAACCCCACACTACCTTTACAGTGCTTGCTTTAAGTCATTTCAACATGGTCTTCCCTGACATTGTATTAACGGACACTTTTTAAAAAACTTCATTAACAAATGTTTTTATATTAAATTCTTAGACCAGCAAGTTCTGATGCGGACACTGTTTTTTATCTTATACAGTTGTACCATTTGTTTGTTTTTGTATTGAATGCCTAGTTCTTTTCTATCCTTGTTGCTTAGAACAGGGCGGGGAACTAAGGGTGGGAGCTCATACATGGACTAGCTAGATGGGCCCAGCATTGATGTCCAGATCCTCCTTTCCCACAGGCAGCTTGTTTTCAAAAACATATGTGAGGTGTGCCTGTTCCGTGAAGACTGAACTCAGACAAAAACATTGGCTGCATCAAGACCCAAAAATGTTTGGGGTGTTCTCCTGTTAGTGAGAATCTGTAGTAAGTGTGAATGTGTATCTGAAGTCTCAGGATATTGCCTGGGGAATCGTCTCAAAAATTCTATACACTTCATAACTGGATATGCTTGCCCAAACCCTTGAAACTCTTTGTGTCTGACTGATAATGGCAATTATTTTGATAAGGAAATATGCTTTCATGGGCTGAGGGGGTAACTCAGTCAGTGAAGTGCTTGCTGTGTAAACACCTGAGCTCAGTCACCAGAACCCACGTGCAAATCTTAGCACCGAAGCGTGCACTTGCAGTCCCAGTACTGGGGCACATGACAGAGACAACAGGATCCCTGGGTCTGGCTGGCCAGACAGCCTGGCTGGCCTGATCTGTGAGCTCCAGGTCCTAGTTAGAGACCCTGCCTCAAAGAACAAGGTGTGTGAGCTGTGAGGAGCAGCACCCCAGGTTGAGCACTAGCCTCCATGTACACATATATGAACATGAGCACACATGTGAACACATACATCACGCCAGTATATGTTCAGATCTTTTACCCAGACACTCACCCCCTTCCACCTGCCCCTGCCCTATCAGAACAAACACACTTTGCATCCCCAGCCTTACCTTCTCTGAAGGTGACTTTGTCTGTGGTCAT